GATTATATTAAAGAATGATACAGGTGTGTACTACTTTTGTTCGTATAAGAAGTTAAAGGTTTAGAGTCTTTTGCTTGGTCGGTGATACAGATATAATTATAGAAATATAAATTTTGATACCGGTATAAAAATACTTCACTTGTCTGTAAATATTCTTCGTACAAGTACAGTTCAGTTACCAAAATTACAAAAACATTGCGAATCTTATTTATCCCAAAGTTCCGAATGAAAAATGAAAAATCACAATAATGTATACGCGAAAGCAGCTTTTATTAAACTACCGACCAATTAACAGAAACGAGTTTTCCCTACCAAGCAGACGGAAAATCCGGTTGCAGATCGTCAAAACAATCCTTCGATTCGAACAACATCGTCACGTGACTCGAGTCCATTTAGGAATTCGAGCAAGTCTCGTTGAAATCTACTGGAACGTATCCTGTCGAACGGGAAAATGAAGAGAAGTGCGAGATCATCGAGAAGAAACGGAGTATAGAGGGGATGCTGGACAGTGCGATGTAATTAAAGTCGTTTAATAACAGGTCCATAGATCTCGGATCTCGATTCGCCGTATAAAATTCTTCGTTAATTACTGTCAAACTGCCTTCCAAATCGTAATTTAGCCGATGCCTCGAGCCAATCCGTTCGTTCCGTGGTAGAACCGTGGAGGAAGGGAGGAAAGAGACGGATCGAGCGATCCGGCGCGAAAGAAATGGCGCGAGCGCGGAGAGAAAGAGGGGAGAGACACCGAGAAAGAAAGAGAGAGAGGGAGAGACAAAGAGATATTGAGAGAGAGAGGAAGAGACAGAGAAAGAGGGAGAGACTGAAAGAGCGAAGGAGAGGGAGAGAAGGAGTGATTTTAATTTTTACCGTCGATCGCTCGGAACGACTCGTCTTCTGATCTCGCCGACGGTAGCTGACCTCGTGCTAAATGTCCGAGAAACGATAACGACGAGTGCCTAGCCGCGTCGTTGCATAAATCAGAAAGAGAAAGAGAGCGTGTATGTATCCGTGGTGTGGTTTGGTGCCGCTAATATGTCGCTTCGCTCTGCCTCGACTCGCTCCTCCGATCTTGCTTACTCGCTCCTTAAATCTTGAATTTTAATGGAATGACAGGAAGCGCCTTTTGGACACGAAGAGAGGGCGACCGGTGCCGTCAGACGACCAGGAAGTGTTCTCAAGAGGTTGACGGAAGAGACACGTGATCGTTGTGTTGGACTCACAGAGGAGAGAATCGCTCCGAGCGTTTTCTTTTACGAGCGTTTCGGAATTCATTTTAGAGTAATATAAGACGATTACGGATTTATTAGCAGCTTGAACTTTTCAACATTTTTATGCCTCGAGCTGTCTTCATTTCTGACTTTTTAACGAGACACCTCTCGGATACTTGTTCCTCCGTGTGTTCTCCTCTTTTATGGTAATTTCGATGGACAGATTACATGTAGAACACAGTGTGTACATAGCAACGTGCGAGGAGGAACATATGTATAATTACAACGGAAACATGTTGTATCCTAAACGAAGATCTATCCTCGAAGGTTTATCTTTCGAGTGTGAAAGAAGATTTTCTGATTATGAGAAATTAAATTCAAAAATGATTATACAATACGTAGTGTTAGATCAATGCAGAAATTCCCACCCTATTTTGTTTTACAGAATGTGTATTTACATTTTATATTCGCTATATTGAATTAATTCTAGTACCGCCATAAATACAGCGTCTTTCAGCGCCTCCGATTCACAAGCAACGGAAACTTTCGCACAGATCCAACATTATCTACCGTTGTTTGTTAGTAGATGTTAAACTATACGAAAGCGAGGAAAATGGCATAAACTATTTGAGGGGTACTTTCTTTAAATGTTCCAAGAAGTCGTAGCTTTAGGACTCACCTGTGTGCGGCATATTGATCCAGGGATTTCCGCGATAATCTGCAACAGAAAAAAAGGAGAGCGGCTCATTAACGAATGTAGATCATTGCAATCATCGGTCGATTCTTTACAGCACGCAATTATTGCAGGCAGGTTGGTCGGTCGGTTCGTTTTACAGCATAACGATGCCCATATTTCGTACGTGTATACAGGCATGCATGTGTATGTGTGTGTGTGTATACGCCGCAGTTTACGGGAACATAGCCTTTACTGTTAATGAATTTAAATGTATTCAAAGGGCGCGCTTGACGCTTGACATGGCAACCCTTAAATATGCAACCGTACCACGCGGCAAAAATATTACCGCCTAGGCGGACCGTGACTCTCATTCCGTGAAAATAACGTAATCGCGGTGAAATTGAACCCAGGTTGGGTATTCGCAATCGGCGCACGTAACGACGATTTAAAAGCGGCGACAAACCGTCCATCCGACGCGCGATCGTGCAAACGTGCGTGTAATTCGACGCATGGCTCATTAAGGAAGTCATGTTCGGCTAATTTTATCCTTTGCACCGAATTACCCGAGAATTATGCAATATTATGCCGACGCGAGAATTTTCGCGGTGTATTGGATTCGTGTTGCGTTGGAAATCGGCGCAAATTAGATCGGAGGCTGAAAGTTGGTCTAGGGTTATTCTACTTAGGTTGGTCTAATTAAGCGAGTTTTAAGAGAGAAGTATCTTTTATTCAGTCCGAGTCGCTCAAGTTAAACAGTAGATAATTAGATTTTAAACAATTCGGTTCAATTGTTTTTTTTTTACTGCATAAATTCGTCGTTGTCTTTCTTCAGGAGGAGAGTAAAATTCTATTTTAATATTGGTTAGTCTATTTTTGGAACTATTCTCAAGTCAAACTTCGAATTCTCAAATTTTTAATTATTACGAGATACGTTTATCGTATGATTCTAATTTACCTATACAGGTGCAATTATCGGGCGATTGATCTAATCCAAGCAAATTTCAAACTTCAACCCCCAAGAAAACTACTCTGCAGCAAATATGCTGAAACTACGACGGAAAAGTTTCACTATTTTTCCCACTTAAAAAGTAAACAAAAATTACAAACTCCACTTACAATACCCGCAGAAGACCAATAAAAACAGAATACACCAATTTTTCAAGTGGTTACTTCGCTCGTTCTAACTATTTCCCAGAACACCTTCTAAATCACAAAATCTCACTATCCTCGTATACTCAAAAATGTTAATTAAAACAATTCCCCTCAAACTACACAAAGCCTCGTCAATTCCTCCCATTTCCTCGACCATAACCTATTGAAAAAAAATCATTTCCCGAAAAATCGATGGAAAAGAAAAACCCCAGCTGGAAGGTAGTGTAAACGGGTGGGTGTGTCTTGGGTCGCGACGGCATGAGAACTCTAAAGAGATCGAGCGGTAGCGGAAAACTACGTGGAATGCGTGCGTAACGTGGCGGGTGGCGTGTACTTTGTGATGCAAATTAATGCGCGATTACCAAAGCACCCCTACCCCCACCGTTTCAGACCGCCCTCCCCTCCACCCTACCCCGGGGTTTCTCGTCGTTACCCTCGCCTCGTTCGTGTCGAGGTCTCTCCCGGCGGAGAGCAAATGGCCAGGCCTCTGTGTTTGTGAACGTGGCCAGCACAATTTCAGGTGTATTCTCAGCTACTACGTGCAATGAGCACAGCCCTCCACCCCTTGGTCACTCGATGCCTACCCACGCATTAAGTCTGCTTACACGCTCGCTCCCGCTCCCCTAATCTGATGTAACTATTACACGTTACGCGGCTGCACGGTCGCACTATCGACGGAATTATTCTTCGTCGTCGCCGTCGTTCAAGTCCTTCCGATCGGTTCCCTCGCTGGCAAGTAACTGATTGATTCGTCGCGAAACGAGATTACATCGAACCTGGCCGATCGCTCGAGAGTTCGAACGTGGGCGTCGAACGTGTCACCTGGATGTCTTTTCAGAATGTAATTGATTACGGTTAGGTGAATGTCGTCGACGAGTTTTATGTGTCACCAGGTGTTTCTTCCTTCTCGTTTATTTATCAAGGTTGCGCGGAGTTTGATGTATCGTTGTGACAATTTAATTTCTCGGGAGAGAAGAAAATTAGTTTGGAGATTAATGTGTCACCTTTGCACTGATTTTAGACGTCAACCGAAAGGAACGTGTCACGTGTGAAATCAGTGATTCTGCATTAATTCGCACAGTGGTTTTCTCCTATTTTGAGAAATTAAGCTTTTGTTGGTTTGTAGCTTTAATTTTGTTTCAGTTTAAGGTTCGACGAAGTTCCGGTAGGTTTCAGAGTTATGTGGATATTTCAACCCGTTCGTGACCAATGGGACGCATACGTTCCACTTGAGTAGTCGAATAAAAATTAATCTTATTAGCAAACTAAGATGATCAGTTAAAAAAATATTTCTGTCATGAAAGGGTTAAATGATTTTCCTTCTTTTTGCTGCTAATTTAGGATGGATTGTTATTCGAGCGATAAATTTCAAGTAATTTCCAGTAACCTTTCCTTCTATTCTCACAGTATCTTGTTACATGAAAATTGCAACATTTACCGAGCGGAAAGTGAACATTTTCGAAGGCAAAATTTACCGCTAGCTTTTTGCAATTTCGCGGATTTATCGTTTCGAGTAAAGCTACGGTGTATCGGTGAAAATTCGTGATACGCAAGAAATCGAGAATGTTGTATATACGGGAGCGCGTCCTGCAAGAAAACGAGCGAAGCATTTTTCTCCTGGAACCGTGCAAAGGCCTGGAAAATTGACGGTGCAAAGTTATTACGGCGTCGGTGATCACCATTGAAAAACCCGATCCTTACGTATATGGCATTTGTAAAGTTCGCGGATACTAAAATTCCATCACGAAGCGATTTCAAGGTGTCAAGCGTTACTCGTTAGAGGTGCAGTCGCTGTTGCACGAAACGCAATCCCCTTTATCCGTCTCACGATACTTCGGGAACGAAGGAAGGTGTGACACGACGAGTATTACCTTAATTAGATCGATTCTCTTGAGAAATTCGAACTCGAAGATCAGTTTCTTCAATAGTCACACGTTAAATGAAATCTTCATTTCGACACTTGGAAATTAAACTCAATTAGGCACGAATTTTACGAAGAATTAATGGGAAAATGAATGTGATAAAGTGATTTTGAACAAAATATCAGTTAGAGAAGAAGAGGTAATATTGATTAAACATTTAAAAACGATGGTTTATTAAATTTTTACGAATGAAAGAATCATTTTTTCTAGGTTTTTTTTTTTTTTTAGATTCTCATTGTCCACAAATCTTCACAACTGAGATATTAGGCGAAATAAGAACCGTGACTCACGCTCTTTTTGCATGCAACTACGACTTCACCCCCTGCGTGTATTCCTCAATTATGCTTCATGCTTTCCAGCTACTTTCCAAATTTTAATCATCGACGCATTTCCACAAATTGTAAATTCAAATTTGCTAATTAAACCGACCAAATTTTCTTTAAACCGCCACCACCCTTATCCAGCATTGTTAATAACACAACGATACTGTTCCCTCGTTCGCTATCGAAAGAAAGGCAAACGCGAGTGTACTCGAAGGATTTTTTTCGTAGGCGGCACAACGAGGTTAGATTCGATTCGAAAGGATGATCGGAAATTCCGAGCGGTGAGTTTCTCGAGTCGAACAACAGTCACCACAATAAAATATCTCCGTAATGAGGATTGAACGATTATTATAAATCAAAGAGGCCCGGGTACACCGGATCGTTCGCCGCATTTCTCGCGCGCCACGTGTTTTGCCGGTGTTACTCTCTCGTGAACACGTGTCCCGCCTCCCGCTTTATTTCTTTCTTCAATCTTGTCCTCTCCCTCGTACCGCGGTACGTGCAAAAGTGACGTACGAACCGAACGTTGGTCTCGACACGCTGAATTTTTCTCCGGTTTGCAAGGGGGCCGTGGGTAATTTCTTTTGGCCACGCTATGATACCGATGTTTCAATTACGCTGCCTCGCCGAAACTCGTGCCTAAAGGCTTGATGGATGCCTTCGTAAAAAGAGGACGGGCCGCTGTGCCCCGTGTAAAAATTACGAAAACGGCGAAATTAGACGGAGATATAGTGGAATGTTAGCTTCGTGATTCGTTAAAATTTCAACACGTCGATGAAGCTTTCACGTTCTTTCCGTTGCGAGATTACGACAGACGGTTTTTCACGATAAGGTAAGTTTGATAATTCTAATAGGAATTTTTGAGACTCAGCAGCTCCTTGTTGTTTTCTTAGTTAAATGGGATCGAGAGTGTTTTGTTTGCTGGCAGAGATGGGATTTTCCAGCACACAAGACCAAAACGATAGAACGCTGGCTGTAACTAAATTTACCTGTATTGGTCATCAGGAAATTTCTCGATTTTAATCACCTTAATTATCGCCCGCGGAATTTTTTAGAGGAAAAGAGTTGAAGAGTTGAAGAGAGATTTACATAGAACAAGTGGTCACTTTGAATAAGTTTAACAATTTTTATACTGAAATATATCTTATAAATAGAATATGTTCGAAGAATATTTTCTCTTTTAATTTAACTATACAGTCACATTTATTAGAGACGGAATTTATGGCACCACTGTGTATTTATACGTCTAAGAAGATTCGAAGGTTGTGAAAGTACTTAATTACTATCCTGCTTGACGTATTACTGATAATATTTTTACTACTTTAGCGACAATAAAGTACCGTTAATTTGCTTTTACGCTCAAAGTATTTCAAATCAACCAGAGTACACCGACCTAACATCGAATATTCAAAGGAAACGAAACACACTTTAATTTGAACGTTTCGAAAACTCAGGGATGACGCGTATTTACGGAGACATCAATGCTGGAGTAGGAGAGTATTCAGCACGAAAGATTCGCCCGTGTCTTTGTCACAATTTCCCAAGTAGAACAAAGTAATACAACCGCAACTCCCCTCATCGTGTTCTAAATCAGAATGGAACAAAAAAAAAAAGATCCC